GGTAATAAATCAATTTATTTAATCTAAATTTTTAGATTAAGTCAGATTAAATAAATAGATTGATCTAATTTGATTTAGAGCTCTAACTTAAGCATACTTAAAATCAAATAATATAATTAATTCTGTATTTATATTTGTTCATTCTTTTTATATAATTTTAATTAATTTTTTATTTAAATTTAAGTAAAGGTTTCTTTTTTTATATTTAATTAGGCTTTACTAATTCTACGTTAGACTTTTGCATAAATATCTAACTTAAAAAGTGCAAATCTAGATTCATTAGACTATACAATATATTTTTATTCTTTTTGCCAATTACATTTTATTTTACATCAGTTTAATTTATCTATTTGGTGTTTTTGAGTTAATAAGAGTCTTTTTCTTGAAGTATAATTTTTAATTTTATTTCATATGAATATTTGAATAGTGTAATTGGTAGGAGAATAATCATTATTCAGCTTACTTGTAATTTTACCAAGAAAAGCAAATCTATCTTTATAAATAATACTTTTTAAAAAAATGTTTTCTGCGATTAGATAATATTTTTGGTCAACCTAAACATTTATTAAGATGTGAAAAACCAGTTTTTTATAATGATTAATAGTATCATATTATCATTATAGAATTCTTCAATTCAGGGTGGTCACGTTATTAAGTCTCTCTACTCAAAATTTCTAACTGCGGCTTACTGTAATCAAAATGTTAGGATCTGCCTAACTCTTAACTTTATCAAATTTATGCGTTAGACTTAAACAAATCTATCAAGTATAAAGACTTGAAAAATGAGATTATGAACAATTTAATTAAAGAATTCAGATGATAAACTCAATTACAAATAATGTATAAGGATCACATCAGACTATATGAAGACACAAAGAGGCAGAAATATATAAGTTTTGAATGATTCCTTTATTAATATTAAAACTCATATTTGCAAGAAAGTTAATTTACAATATAAGCAAAAAGTCTATCTATTTATACAAAATTTCTTTTGTCACGGCTAACTAATTACTATGCTATAAACTAACTAATTTAGTAAAATAAAATATAAGTAAAATAAATATATTGAGAATAATAAAAATACGTAAAATAATAAAAATATAAAAATATAATAAAAATAACAATAAAATTTAGAATATTAAAAATAAGAGATCGTCATACTGCGTCATACACGTGACTTCGTTATGATTTGTCAATTGCTCCGTTGACAATATACTGTTGAAGAGGGAATATTAAAATTAGATGAAATTAATGCCAGTAAGGTAAGCACCAATTAATCGTTCTCGTTAATTCTTTTTAGGCATTTTGGTATTAGAAAAATTAATTAAAAGGCTGGTATTTATTTGTAATACTTGTAATTGTGTCCATATCTAAAAAGAGAACAATAACGGCTCTTAAAAAATTTTTTAATTAATCGCGTAACAATCAATCGTGGCGATCAATTTCCAATGAATTATTGTAGGTATATTGTTCGCTCAGGACAAATAATCAGGTCAGGACAAATAATAGATTAATAAATCAATAAACGATTTATTTAAATAATATTTTAATTGATTAAATAAATTATTTAATTATAATAATTATAATTAAAATAAAATTAATTTATTTAATAAAAATATTATTTGATTATTTCGAACTAACATTAAATAATAATATACTCTTTATTCTATAATCAATTTTGTAAGTATTTACTTAACAAAATATAAAATAATATTAAAAATAAATAAACCTTAATCTTTGTTATTTAAAACAATATCTATTTTATAATTAATGTATTTATCTAATATTTATAAATTATAAATAAATAAATGTATTAATATTAATTATATAGTCATTTTAATATGAGCTATCGCATGTCGTATTTATTGTTCTAAATTAATTATTCTAATCAAATTAAGATTTGTTTTGTTACCTCGTGTCGTTGCCTTTTTTTTCAAAAAAAAAAAAAAAAATTTCATTTTCGCCATATTTTCCTTGATTTAATTTCGATAATAGTAGATGCAGTATTATCAGTATTGAACATTAAGTATATGAATTGTTAATACGATTAAACGTCAACTGGTCAATATAATAATATCGATAACCCATCCTGTTAGAAAAGCAACTTTTTAAAAGGAGAAAAGGGAGGAATTTCATGTTGAAATTTAACAAATTTGTTACGTAAGCGAAGATAAGAATTAATGTTGGAATCCAACTAACCAGAAAAACAGAATACTAGAAATTCTGTACCATAATTGATTGGTTAAATACTGAACGAGACGTCATAGTAAGAAAAACTCGAAGTCTTCGGACTTTCAAAAGAGAAGGTTTAACTCTTTATAAAGTTTCAGACTCGGTGTCGTGATAATATCAATACAAAATGATCCCAAAGAAAGAAGGTGCAAAGGTTTTTTACTATATACCTGAAAATATAACTAACTTAATGAAGAACTTAGCAAAACTTCGCTAAGAGAGTAAAAAGAATATATAATTTGATCCTTCTATCCTAACTGGGTTAGGATCACAATAATAATGTAGTGATATATTCTAGTATTAAAGTATTAGTCTTTATGCATGCTACCAAAGTTAACCGTTTATGGGAAGCGAATCAATTTAATTTGGATGAATCGGGACGAAGAAACTATGTTCGTTTTGATGTTAAAATCGAGTTACGAATATAGTAAATCATATGATCCGAAATGTGATTATAATAGCAAACCGTCCAAATATTTAGTATTTCGTTTCAAATCAAGAAAGAAAAAAAATTCGCGTTTGCAACAAATCGAAATTAACAAAAATTTTAATTTGAACGAAAAATTATTCGAAAAAGCTTTTAATGAGGATTCTGTGGTATTTAAATATTTATACTTTTAAGATACAGCAATTCAATTACTAAACGTATAAACTTTCTTTTCGCCTTGTAACATCTTACAAAATTTAGAAGTTCCAACAACCCTTTCCAATCTCAATTGATCAAATTTTGAAAATAAGACGCTAATTGAAATCATCTCGTTTGAATTCTCGATAGCTGAAGTTTTATTGGAAGGTGACAGTTGTATAAAATTTAAAAGTTCTGAATAAAAATGAGCATGATCTGGCAACGCATAAAAGATAATATGATGGATTCCTTTTATGTGATTTCTATTAATAACAAAGAAAATGAAAAATTAATTGGTTAGTAAATAAATTGACCTTAAACAACAAACTTTAGCTAACTTGTCCTTTTTACCTCCTAAAAAAATGAAATCTTTCCGTATATAATAAATAATTTTTCTTTCCATTAAGAAAATAAGTACGTGCTCTTGTAACATCAGAAACGCTTGCATACCTAAAATTAAAATAAAACCAAAGGGATTAAGTTACAGTTAAACGTTTAAATATAAAGACAGTATAGTTCGTGTACTTACTCATTAATTGAAGTAAATGAAAATGAGTTATCTTCAAAATAATTCCGTAATCTTACAAAATCAAAATACGATGGTATGAAAATCATTACATGCGACAAATTCATTTTTCTTATTTTCGGTAACACCTATAAATTCCAACTCTTTAATACTTGTACGAAAAGAAAATCGTCCCGTTTGATCAAACTTGTGTAATTTGTTACCTTTTCAGTGAAATATTTAAACCTTAAATCATCGACTTCTGATAGCAAATTACATTCAATTCGTGTAAACGTCTTAAGGATAAAATAATTTGTTAATTAACTTGATAAATCAATAACCTCATTAAAACTTTCCAAGGTAAATTCAGCGACTTGTACCTGCCGAATATTTGTCGCATTAACATCCAAGATAGTTCCTTTATGATGATGCTTGATTTTTATTTTTCCATCGACATTATTCATTTGCTTATTAAATAACGCGTTAATTTCCGGAGTTAAATAGTCAGCAAAGACAATAGTTTGTCTCAAATATTTCGCTCTATATAATACAAGTCAAATTAAAACCCAAAGTATCAAAAAAGAGAGAGAGAGAGAGAATTACCTTCCATCAAGGTACCACTCCTTTACGCGTGAGAAATCACAATCATGTGATTTCTGTGGGATCAGGTTCATATGACTGAAGATATGCTAAAAATCCCCAAAATTAATAAAAATTCCATATCATAAATGTCATCAATACACGCACTTTTTTTTAATACATACTTCGACATAATCCCAATTTTGCATCAAGAGGGTATCACATTGATCAACGATCATTATTTCAATTGATGAAAGAAAATCAAAATCCCGTTTCTTGTCCCTTGAAAAGTTTTTAATTTCCCATCAGATTTCAGTCACGTTTACACAGACATGTAGGTTCAAGGTACTCACCCCTCGGCTCCTATGATCATCCTTAATCCTAATGGAGACGCGATGATAATATCTGCATTGTAGAATTCGGCATAAAATTTCATAGATTTTCTCGTGAATTTTATACCAATTCTAAACATATCGTCAATGTTCCCTTTAAACGTCGCCAAAAAATCCGCTATCCAAAAGTAAACTCAATTAGTAACAAGAAATAATATACAAAGTATTAACCAGTTAATAGACATACCTGGTTTCTTTGGATCAATTTTTTCTTGTTCAGACGTTATTCCAAATGATTCAAAAAATCGTTTTCGATTTTCCTTACATAATATAAAGAAGAACCTGTTAAGATATAATTTTCTTGTGAAGGTTGAAGGCCTAACTTTCATATCCTTACTTGTTGATCCGTCCCCGATAATTTTATCAAAATTTCTACTAAATCCATGGCAGAATTACGAAATGGTAATAAGATTAATACTTTTGGTCTTGTAAATCCTTGGTCCCTTATTTCACTTTGTATGGAAATTATTAGATTAATTAATATTTTAGTTTGAAAATTTTTCCTTTTCACGCGTCACTACTTACTCAATATCTTTACCAGCCGCGTGTGCGTTATTTAATTTTTCATTGCTTTTTAATACGCGATTTCTAACCCTATTTCACATTCAATATATAATAAATTTATGTAATGATTAAAGTTAATTGTTAATGAATTTTCTTACTTGAAAATGTGATTCAAAGCGTGCAAAGCATACACGCATTTCAGTTTGTGTGAGTCTTCTACAATTCTATTCGTGTATAATACATCTCGATATTTATTAAATTGTTGAAACAAGTGCCATTGTAAATCAGTGAAAGTATTATCTATTGATAAATTGATAGGCATTATTAAATTACTTAATCGTATTTAAACGGATATTTTTAAGATATTGGAACTTACCATTAACTTTCTTCCAAGTCTCTAATAATTTTGGTCTGATCTAATGAAACAAAAAAAAACCCACTCTTTTAATAAAAATATGAATTCATCTAGCTTAGAAATTAATCTCTTCGGTAAATTAATATACCTTTAGTGAATTGAGATTCTTCATATCACTTTCATTATTATCATCGTTCTCCTCGTTGTTAAGTGTATATTTACTAACAGTGTTTAAAACAGAATTTTCATAATTTATTATATTCCATTTTTTTTGTTCAATCATGGATACTTTACCATTTAATATCTGTTGATTTCCAAAATGTCTTTCAAATTCATCTATAAAATAGTTACAATTAGAGAATAAAATATTGCAAAGGGTAAGAGGGGGAGGAAAAAAATTATCTTGTAATTTAAAACTTACCTTTTGCATTTTGTTCTTGATCATAATCATTATTGTTATCCCCTTCAGACTTTATATTATTTTCACCCCCTTCATCCTTTAAATTAATCTCCACGTCATCAATTTTACCCTTTACTTTATCAATTTCTACAACCTCCTTTACTACTACTTCATCTAATTTTTGATTCTTATTAACTTGCAATAATCCAACAAGTTTTCTGTAAGATGAATCAGGCTTATCCAAGTATAATTCTTCAAAACTTTCATCATCATCATCGGTTTCACCGTCAGAAATTTCATTCATCATTTCATCCTCTTCCCAATTTCTCTCCTCATCGAATTGATCTTCGGTAAATACCTTTCCCCTATCAAATAAATTAAAATGAATAAAATACACGATTACAAATTAAATTTAAATTATCCATTCCGGATAAATCTTTTTATTTAAAAAATTTTTTTTTTTTTTTAAATTTCTTACTTTGAAAAACTCCCCTCCGTTTCGTCGCTTTCACTCTCTTCCAACTCGGTAGGGTTTAAAGTACCATACTCTTCTAAAGTCTCCTTATCTTTTCTTGTCAACTTTTTTATTCCCAACCCCTTTTTAATTCCAACTTTATTCTTCTTCCCTTTCCTTACCGAAAAATTTCTTTTTCGTTTCATATTTCACTTGAATTTTTTTTGTAATCGAATTATTTTATGATAAAGCTAAAGTCACGTGATTATAAAATTTACTAATTTTAAAAACCGTCTCATAAAAAAAAAAAACACTTATTTTTTTTTTTTTTAAAAAAAAAAACTCTTACTATAAAAGAAAATATGTTTTTGATTTATTTACATTTAAATATAAAAAAAAAAAAAATTGGAATTCAAATTTATTATGAAAAAAAAAAATATATTGAAAAGTAGGCAAACATTAAAAAAAGGCGCCCTGCGCAATAATACAGAAAAAAAAAAAAAAATAATACTAATAATATTAGGGTTTAAACACCGATCTAAACTAAATTTGTTAAGCACTATAAATTAATACTAATAAAAAAAATTTAATAGCTATTAAAGATAAAAAGTCAAAATAAGTTTCCCATCCAAAAAAAAAAAAAATATAAAAAAAAATAATAATAAAAAATAAAATATAAAAAAAAAAATAATAACCCGACATCATTTTTCTTTCTTTTTTCCTTTGCGATATATAAATATATTAGCATTAAAACGCTTGGAATATACATCAATATTAAAGAATTGTGAAAGTCTTTGTAAAGACTTGATTTTTGTCATTATATTTTAAGTTTTTTAAAGAATTGTCTCTGCGGATTTTTTTCGTGCGACACGATGAACCATTTTGCCCAATTGATATAAAATAATTTGAAAATTTGTCGCCTCAATACGACATCATTTTTAGTTCTATAATTGTCGCGAGCGAAAAGAAGTATAAAGCAAAAAAAGTAAAATACACTAAACTAATCCAAAGTTTCTAACTAAACGAGCAAAACCCATTATCCTTATCCCCATACATACAATACATTCACAATCGTATGTCTAACGTGAAGAGTGGTTTTTAAAAAAAAAAAAGAATATTTCATTCTATATGGAACTAAATAAAATTAAGGGTTTTTTGTTGGGCTGCCTGAAGCATCTGGTGGACCATTGAGAACTTCTTCCAAACTACGATGCCTTGATAATTCAGACAAAACAGATTCATCAACAGGTATAATTGATTTTCGGCGGAATAAATTAAAACCATCTGGCCTTCCGTCAAAAGCTTGCTATATATGTAAAAAAAAAGGGTAAAAAATGAGAAAAAAAGTTTATTTATAAAGTTGATAAAGGTAATAATAAACAAACCAATTCTCCATGCTCATCTTCTTGTCTGTCTCCTTCTTGACGTTCATCTTCACCCGAGTCCTCATAACCACTTGAATGATTCTCATCATTATCAAACGCATTAAAAGTTTGAATCGCTAAAATTTTAGAGAAGTAGGTTAATTTCAAAATTTTATTTGAATTATAAAAGATTTTAAAGTATTCTTACTCGACACGTCAGTTCTTGAAGATATCAAAGGTCCGCCAATTGCATAAGGAAGGGGAAGTCCTTGAGCATTGTGTGCAGCAGTTCTTTCCAATCTGTGCCATGTATCTTCTCGTTCCCGCATTTTTTTCTTTTCCCTATTAATATTTAATATTTAATGTTAAGTTAGCATTGTCTGAAATTACGATAACACAAATTTCTCTATAAATTACACTTACAATTGACGACTTTGTTTATATTGTGCCGTACATTCATCGAATAATGCTGGATTGATTTCCATGAACAATTTCAAAGCGTTGTATACTAAGCCGTGAATGGTACTTGAAGTAAAAGGATAGATAATATTAATATGTTGATGTAATAAGAGTTAATAAAAATAATCGAAGAAATTTTTAGTTACCGGTTCCAATGAGCCTTAGAATTCTGATATAAAGAAGGAAACATTACTGGTAAAATAACATTCACATTATCACCTATCAGGTTGACAATGTATTCGTTGTTCCAATAATATAACGCTCTTTCTGCCACCTTTGTTTACAATTTATAATTATAATGGTAAATTAATTTATAATCCGTATTTTATAATTCGTATTCGTATAATCATATTATTTCATTACTATACCTGAAAGTGTGGACTTGACACGCATCGAGCTATTTGTTGAAATAATGGAACCTGAATCTTTACAAATTCTTGTGGTTCTATCACATCCAAGATTTCCTCAATTTCATTTAAAAACATAACTTCTTTGGGACTATTTACTTTCGGCCAGTATCTCAATAGGCCACAAATAACCTGCGCAAAATATATAATCAGGTGAAGAGTTCAACGTATATAAAAAAAAATGCAATACATTTCCTTACTTCTTCTGTTAATGATGGATCCTTTTCCAAAAATTGCACAACACAATATGCTAATTGAGGGTGATATAACGTTAAAGACTTGACTTTATGCAAAGGTATCAAGACTTTTGTGAGAAATGTTTTGTGTTCTTCTTTTAATGGTAATGCAAAACCATTAATAATACTGAAATGTTAAAAATTGTGATCAATTGGAAAAAGTCATTAAAATTAGTGAAAGAATTGTTGTCATTAGATTTTTACCTTCCAAGGATTTCCAATAACTCGGCAATACCATTATGACGTTCGGTTTCATATATGAACTGAAAGAACACATTATTAATGGACCTTCGAATAAATGCGCGCAAATTTAAGAACTTTCCATAAATACGATGCAATGTTGTCTTTAAGAAATCACGCTCTCTTGGATCTTCACTATCGAACAATTCCAACAACTAAAAAAGAAAAAATAAAAATAAAGAAAATAAGTAAAGATACAAAATAAAAAAAGAACGAAATTTGAAGGAAAAAAAGATAATAATTTTTTTATAATTATGATAAATGATCAGTGTACATGAAAATTTTTTTACACACTTGCAATATAAATTGTGGATCGATGTATTTTTTGGCAATATTCGTGTTGAAATCAGGTGATTCAATAAATCGAAGAAAAAATTCGTAAACGATTTGAAGATGAGGCCAAGCAAGTTCGAGTACGGGTTCATCCTCGTCGGGATCGAAGGCGTCACCTGTGGGATTTACTTGTGGAGGTATGGTTCTAAAAAGATTGATAGCAAACTAGCCAATCATGTACATGTTCGATTATTATCTAATAAATCATCAAAATATAGAAATTCATACTCTGATTTATATATATATATATATATTCATATATATAAAAAGCTAAAACAAACCATCGAAACGACCTCGGGGTATATTGGTTCGGTAATTACTCCTCGATTTGTAGTGATATAATCTAAGAGTTCGGCCAGTGTTGACCTCTTAATCTCTTTTCCTTTAAGGTCAGCGCTTGCATCATTGAAGTCGAAAATTACCGAACATTGAGTAAGCTTTCTAAGAAAAAGTTCTTGTCTTTTGTCCGGTGAAACCTCTGGTAATAATTTATAGTTGAAAAGAGGCTTATTATAAAAATTCTAACTATTTAAGATCTAACATTCATTGGTAGGCTAAAACTAACCATTAAAATTTGGTAATTTTTCCAACTCGACTTTTTCAGTCACATGAAACCTCGACGATCTTTGACGACGTGGTGCTTTGCTTATAGGAATAACGTCTTTAGGTGTCCCCTTCAAACGATTCAAAGGGTCTCGTTTAGGAGGCTCTTCTTTTGAATGAGATTTGTGTGGATTACCAGCAGGCGATAAAGGCGCTGTATTTTCTGGGGGGGTGGCATGCCCTCTCTGAAAGTAACAAACAGGTGAATAATTTGTAATTTGAATAAAACTGACAAGTCAGATAAAGGTTCAGATGCATTATAGCAACCTTTTTTCAATATTTATTACAACTAGTTTGTGAAACCTGAAATATTTACGAACCTGCTCTCCAGCATTAACAACTACAATTGTTGGGGCGTTCGAATTATCGCTCGAGGCTGCAGAGTTCTTTCCTGAAGATTTTGAGCCTCCTCCGGTTTTTCCATTACTACTGCTACTATTACTACTATCCGATTTCCGTAGCTACAAAACAGATGTAAAATAACAAAGTATTGTAAGGATATGAAGAAATCAAAAGAAAAATCAAGAAGCTTAACGGGAGCGACTTACAACTTTTCTTTTAAACATTGTAATTGCTACAAAGTAATCTTGAAAATAGTATTTAATTTCAAAATAGTTTATTAAAATTTTTTTAGAAAAGTTTTTTAGATTTATTAACGATGATAGCATGTATTACGACACACTATTAGTTATAATATATTCTTGTTGTACCAAAGATGCATGCAACGCATGCAACGACGACATGCGCAGTTTAATATTTTTTGATATAAGCCTCGTAAAATGTCCCAAAAACGATTTTATTTTTTTCACTTTCAAAAAAAAAAAAATTTGAATATCCGCATCAGCCGACCCACATTAGTAGACATTCCCGACATTCAATCAATGTTTTAAAAGAAAAAAAAAATTTTTTTTTCTCACTTAATAGATATTACGATATAATGATAATGATCTATTTACCATTATGATAGATCATATGATAAAAATTCCCAAATAAACTCCCCGATTCCATAACAGAAAATCAATACTTTAAAAAAAAAAAAATTTATTGATTATTTATTTATCTCAAAAAAAGGGGGGGGGGGGGGGGAAGTAATTTAATCGTTATCATTACTGCGGCTTTCAAAAGTTTTCTTTACAATTATACTGCGCATTTCTTTTTTTCCGCGCGTCGTCAAAAGTTTTTATTGGCTTACCGCTTTTGTATCAGATTTTATTTTTTTTTTTCAAAAATTTTAAATAGCAAGTTATTAAATTTGGTACTCCCTAATTCTCCACAACAGGCAAACAAAGAATCTCACAAAGAACAAATCTTACTGTTTTAAAAACTTTATCGTTTCATGTAAATCAATTATAGAGTCAACAATTATGAACTAAACAGTACCCGAGTATAATTTAAAACAACCCAATTCAACAAAAGTTGTAATTCTTTATTGATTGATTAGAAAAAAAATTTGCATTATTTTTATTATTATATACTTACCATAATAGTAAATGATATGCAAAAAAGGTAAGTTAAAAGGTTTATTAAATTTTCATTCATTCCCATTCAATCGTAACATAAAATGAAAATAAATAAAGGATTTTCTGTGTTGACTCAATTTTGTGATTCTTATTGCTGTTTACTTGTTTATAATTATATCAAAATATAAAGAAGATATAAACGAATTAATTCGTACGAGAAAATCTATTCATAAATTATATGACATTCATTCGTAATATTGGTAAAGATTGGTATGTGTATTATTACAGTCAAACTCGAAATAACAATGTTATCCAAATTATACCGATATTATCGGTATGCAGATGTTCACATTAAGAAAATGCTTGTTTGTAATCGAACGTTAAGTGACTCCCAGCATTAGGAATTATGAGGCAGAGTTATCAAATTAAGAAATTCAACATATCGATCATTTATTCTGATCTCACGTGATAAAAAAGTAATAACGTAATAAAGGAACGTAATCCATCAAAAAATAAAAAATTTAATTTCAGCTGTGGTTCATTCATAAACCTTATCTCGACATGAGCTCAATCGGAACTGGTGTAAGTTTTCTTAACAAAACTTAAAAAAGCAACATTATTTTTTTTTTTCGTTCACCTTTTGAATTTTGCTCACTTTTACGTTATATATATTATATATATATATATATAGTATGATCTTTCCGTGTCCACATATTCACCTGACGGTCGCGTTTTTCAGGTTGAATATGCTGCAAAAGCCGTTGATAACAGCGGGTACTTTTTTTATTTTAGTCATGTTACCTTGAATTGGTAATTAGTTATCTACCTTCTCAAGTGGTAGTAAGAAATTATTATTATTTACTACTATTGAAGTTTTTTTTTATTGTACATAAATTTTTCATAAAATAGAACTGCAATTGGTTTGCGTGTAAAAGATGGCATAGTATTGGCAGTTGAGAAGCTTTTACAATCAAAATTGTTGGTACCGATTTCGAATCGTTTAATTCAAACCGTCGATACTCATATCGGGGTGGTAAGTAACCATGCTTCTTACTTTAATGGTTTTATCTCTAATTAATCCGTTCTTATAACAATAGGCAACGGCTGGTTTATTAGCAGATGGTCGTCATATCATCAATCGAGCTAGGGATGAAGCAGAAAGTTTTCGAAATAATTACAGAATTCAAATTCCTGGCAAGGTATTTCAATTACAAACCCTTTTTTTTTTAAAAAAATAAAAAAATAAAAAATAAAAATAAAAATAAATAAATAAAAAGAAATTGATTTTAAATCATTTTTCATTTCTAATAATAGGTTATTGCTGATAGAGTAGGTCAATACGTACAAGCCTATACATTATATTCTAGTGTTCGACCATTTGGTAGCAGTGCTATCATAGGAGCTGTTGATAACGAAGGACCACAACTATATATGATCGAACCATCTGGTGTATACTGGGTGTGTTTAACAAATTTTAGAATGATTTTTGAAGGCATCTAAAAATTGTTTTTTAATGTTAACTTTTAACAACATTATATTTTAGGGTTATTATGGTTGTGCGATCGGTAAGGGTAAACAAGTGGCAAAGACAGAAATTGAGAAACTTAATCTTTCCGAGTTATGTGTTCGCGATGCTGTAAATGCAGCTGCCAAAATGTAAATGAATTTTCTTCGATTTAACCTATGTTAATATATAAAATTTTAACACCTTTCTTTCCTTTATTTCATATCAGCATTTATACCGTTCATGACGATTCGAAAGATAAAGCATTTGAATTGGAATTAAGTTGGATCACAAATGAAACTAAACGACATGAATTTGTACCTAGAGAGATTGCAGAAGAAGCTGAAAGATTGGCAAAGGTTTTTACCCTTAGTACATTTATGCATATATGTCCCTTTTTTTATCTAACAATAAATTTCTTTTTCTTTTTTTATAGGACTCGCTTAATGAAGAGATGGAAGATGATTAGATTAGATAATCAAAAAAAAAAAAACTTTTTTTATTTTATTAAAATCGGATTATAACTCACAAAGAATCAACGTTTTTGTTTTTGTTAATTTAAAAACAATTTTGACTATGGAAATATAAGTCAAAGGTTTTTAATATGAATAAATTAAATACTTTATTTTATAATTCTTTACGCGATGTAGAATCCATTTAAATTAATTGTTTTTAATAAAAATGTTTAAGATAATCTATAATCTATTACTTACAAAGAGTCCAAAAATTTGTCTCCAATAATTTTTAATCCGAAGCAAATACTTCTCTACAATATAAGATTCCTAACAATGGTGGTCCTAAAAATAATCCAAACCAAAAGAATGCATTACCGAGCCATTTTTTTTCTTTAATTGTAGGTAATTTGCTTAACCAGATTAAAGGAAGTTGAAGCATTTGCAAGACAAATAAGTACATTCTGATTTTTTTAGATACTACGACCATAACAAGTTCATGTATTAAAGATGATAAAAAGAATGTCATAAATGTAGCATCTCTTTTAGATAATTTATATGACTCAATTGAGTATTGATACACGTGTCGTAATAAAAAGTGATGTACGGGTTTATTCCATTTTCTTGCGAATTCTTCCCATGTTGTACTGTTCCACCAGTCATCATAAAAATTACGATCAGCAAAACTAAAAAATATTTTTTTTAAAAAAAAACGGAGATTAAAATCAAAAATCAAACATATCTATTACATCTATAAATATTTCTCTTACCAAGTTAATTCCGCAAATACGTTACAAATGCACTCGAAAATAATATAAAATATTAATAAATAATCCATCATAAATGGAAAAAGCATTTGCACCATGGTATGATAAAATGAAGTTGAAACATTAGGAAGGATGGGAATTATATATGTTTCGGTATTTACGTATAAAAGGAAGAATGTTCCAAAGGTTGCCAAAATTTTTTCAAAAAGATACCAAGGACGAATTCTAAAAAAAAAAAATTAAAAAATATATATATATATATATAAATCATAAATTCATTAAATACAAACAAAAAGTTTTGCCTTACTTTTCAGTTCTTGGATATTCTAATTCATAAACTAAAGTTGGAACCAACAAGAAGTCCACATAATTCAAAAAAGTTACATTTTCGGGATAACAAATGTTCTTCGATGGACTATGAAGGTAACCTTCAACTTGATTAATCTTTTCTTCTAATTGGTCCAAAATTTGTCTTTGGTTCTCATTCTTTTCATCTACCTCAATATCGGATTTCTTTGATTCTCCAACCAAATTAGCATATCTTTCCTTCAATTCAGAAAATCGAATAGCGTACGTAGACAGCTCGCCGTTATAAAAAGCGTAAGAATGAAGTTTCATCAACATAGAAATAGTGTGAAGAACAAAGAAACCACTTTGTACCCATGGCCAACCTCTATTAAAATTGATAAAGGATTTTTTTAAAAAAAAGTCAATAATAGCTTCACATAAAGTTTTAAGAAAAATCGAATTCAACCTACTTAAAGAACGTCCAATATGTAGGAACAAACAGAAACATAACTTGAAAAATGTGTTGAATGATCATTCCGGTATATCGCCATCTGATCCATCCACGTGCAATCACTTTTTGTAGTAAAACTGCAAAAAACATTGATCCGACCATACACATATCACTTAATATTAACCCTATTGCATCTTGTGAAAATAATCGAAAAAATGATAAATCCACTAAAATTCCTGCTGATTGAAAATTTTTTACACCGGCTTGGATTATATAAAATCCCATTGCTATCCAAAATAATGTAAAAAATCCTCGAAATGAATCTTGATGAGAGTCCAAAGTTTCACGATCTAATTGTGATCTACGAGGTTGAAAGGTAACAACACGTTTCGCTATCTTCCTTTGTAATCTATTCAATTCATCATCATTTGTTAACGTTGCGGATAATGTGGTTTTTATGGTGGTAGTGGTGGTTTTTTTGATGGGAGAAGAGTCATTGATGGTTGAAAGTGATGGAGAAATATGTTTCTCAACTAAAATTATGTCTTCGACCTTTAATATAAAAAAAAAAAAAAAAAATGAAAATAATAATGTGAGCAAAAAGAAAAGATTTTACATCGAGAAAAAAATACGATATCCTACAAACCTGGGTAGTCTGTAACATATTTAATTTAAAGTTGGTTAAAATATAATATATTTATTTAGAAAGAATGGATCGGCGAAAAAAGTCAATTGGGGTATTTAGTAAATGAGTTAGAAAGCCGATTAACGAAGGGAAGTTTTTCCGCCGCTTTGAGAGAGAGAAAATTTTTCATCAACAAATAATTTGGAATCTTTCCTTATATGGATTTGACACAATTGTTGTTACGTAATAGGACTCACAAATAAATATTTGATAAATCAAGGAACAAATAAAGTATTTATTTAATAAAATGAATAATCTAAATTTAAACCTAGTCATTTGATTTGTTATGCGATGGAAAAGGATTTAATATTGAAAAACAATCCTCCCTTTGCTGATCAGGAACATCATTCATCATTCTGTAGATCCCACCGTCATTCCGTTTTATTAAATAAAATTTACAAAATATCCTCTATTCCAACGTTTTGCTGTTTTTTTAGCCTCACAGCCAGGCATTTTTTTTTATTGTTACCATATTGTTTTTTTCTTTCTTTTTGCTTTTTGTTAGATTTTACCAGACTTCGCCTGTTAATTCTTCCATAAATTTTTGTTGATTAGTATTCTTTTAGAAATGAAATTATCATCCAAATTCCCTATTAAAAAAAACAAGTTAGGGGGCCAAAAATGATAAGGAGTATACTTGATGAGTTTAATGAAGAAATGCAAAGTATTTCCATACTCATTTCCTTTTAGTCTTTACCGTGTTATAATCACAATTTCACATTTTTGATATACATTTTCTGATGACAGGGGTGAGGGAGAAAGGGGTCAAAATACTAAAAAAAAAAAAAGGTTATTTCTGATACATTCTAAGCGATTTTCTAATACAAAAAAAGTAGGTGCAAAATTTTTCGTGCATATTTGTTTTCTTTCATTAATTAAAAAGGTTTGATTCGCTTATAGAAAATGGAAATTTTGTATAGATTATTTACAAATTTTCAAATTATATATTTATATTTTAAAATATTCCGTATAGTCCCGAAAATAAGCACATAATATTACCCGAAAATAAGCATCCCTCGAAAAAAATGTAAAAATAAAAAAAAATATATTTATTATTCCATTATTGTAATATAAAATTTATTTGAAAATAAAGTTGAATTAATACAAAATTGACTGAAATTATTCTTAATTATTATAAAACTATTATAAAACCAGCCTAATTAATCATTATTATGAATATTATCATAACTACCATCAATATCGGAAATTTCTGTCATATAAATTATCTAAACAATCTGAACAATTTACATAAGAATTAATGATGATTTCCTTAGATATACCTTCCCAAGAATGTTTTACCCAATTACAAATATCACTATATTTAGCATGCCTAAGATTTCCTGCAGAAGCCATCCCAGTACCACCAGCTGCCATCTATAAATGCCATTCTTTACAGAGGTTATCCTTAAATGGTTTGTTAATAGTAACATCAAGCGGTTGTTATATACTTGTTAAGCCACCCGGGATAACTGCTAAATCAATATTACTATTATGAAAATTTTCTTTTACAGATTTTTCTAAATGACTTAAAAAGGATCATAAACAAGCATTATTAGTGCCATAGATCGATTATTATTGAGATAATCAATATATTTTATCATCAGTTTTGTATCTATTCATCCATTATCTTAGAACTAAGCTTTTACACCAGTAGGAATTTGTTCACCATAATTCAATCTTTTCCCTTTAAATATACATATTGATAGCAGTTTACTTCCATCTATATAAAAAAATGATAAAACATTTATAAAAATGATTTTTGAAAAACTTACAGATACAATAACTCTTACCAGCAACACAAGTGAGAATAATAGTAAAAGATTTTTTTATTACCTATTTCACAAATATAAACTGTTTTTCATCTATTTAATTAATAATAAAATACCAACCATGTCAACTATACTGACGTCTCATCCATGTTGAAGATATTACATATTTCATAGGATTTTTCAATCCTAAGGTAAATAACAAATCAATGGAAATTATCTAATAATGCTTCAGTTTATTTTAAAAATTTCTATCTGATTTTTATACACCTTCTTAAAAAAAGTTTTCGCTTTTTCATAAATACATATAACCAACGATTTGATATCTTAAAATTGTTTGTCAAATCATTATAAAGAGATACAATATCTGACTCTTATAATTTCTAACATTTTGACCTAGATAATAATATAGATTACAGCTAAACCTATTTTTTTTGACCAATTATTTAATAATTAAACTTTTTTTAGCTTCAAAAAAGTCTTTTGCTCAGAACTAACACACTTGCTATTTCTGCTTATATTATTTGTCCATTTTTTGTTTACTCTAATCCAACATCTAACTATACTTTTACTAAATTTAAAATGTGCTGCTGTATTATTTTTTCTGAATTTCTTTGCATAATTAATAACAACTTCTTTCTATTCAATAAAATATGAAATTCAGATTAGTTTAGAAACTTTTATTTTAATTTTACTTTTTTGACAATTCGCTTGCATCATAGCATTATTTATATTTATATATAATGACTAAAAGTAAGTATAACTAAATATTATATAAATCATAGGGAATTTATTTGCTTTTAAACCTTTGATCAATTAATTTATTATTTTATGATAAGCATGATTATTCAAAATTGATTAGTCACATTTGGTTAATTAATTTAATCAACCAAGATAATGATCGATTAATATAGTTAATCAACTAATATAATCACAATCAAAGTAAAATTTTAAATGAATTCAGTATATTATAAATTCTTTTTTATTGCATATATTTATTTAAATGGACTAATATATTCTATATTTTTCTTAAAAAAGTAATTCACTCACAGTTTGTGACTAGAATTCTAAATGAGTCGAATCGAGTCAAGTTTAAAGATCAACTCTATTTAACTCTCTTTTTTCAAGTTGAGTTGAGTCAAATTTATTTTATAAAATCTTTCAATTTGATTTGATTTAAGTTATATAAATTTTAAAAACTCAATTTAACTCGACTCGATTTTAACTCGATTCAATTTTGAAAAAAAAATAATAAAAAAAAATGAAAAGATTGGGGAGAAGAGAGGGAAAGCGAACGATTCCTTATTGTTCTTCTTGAATGATTTTTGTATTATTCAAGTCAAACGATTCCTTATCGTTCTTCTTGAACAATTTTTGTATCGTTCAAGTTAAACGATTCCTTATCGTTCTTCTTGAACAATTTTTGTATCGTTCAAGTCGAATGATTCCTTATCATTTTTCTTGAATGATTTTTATATTATTCAAGTTGAACGATTCCTTATCATTCTTCTTGAACGATTTTTGTATCGTTCAAGTTGAACGATTTCTAATTGTTTTTCTTAGAACAATTTTTTTATTATTCAAGTCAACTTGAATCAACTCAAATCAAGTCGAGTTTAAATCAAGTCAAGTTAAATATTTAACTTAACTCGAATTTGGCTTGACTCACAAATCATCGAGTCAAAAAAACATAAACTCAACTTGATTTGAACTCAATTCAGCTTATCTAACTTGTGAGTTAACTTGATTCGTCCAGAACTCTAATCACATATAATTTACAAAATTCAGTATCATACTTATGCTTTTTCAACCAAAATAATAAAGACTTTTATAAAGAAAGGCCAATAATTTTTGAAAAAGGATTATTTACAAAAAATTATATAAAACATATGAATTAATTACTAAGAAAATCAGGTTTTGAGAATTTTTTAGCAAAATTGAAATTTTTATTGCATTTTAGTTTTTGATGTTATTAAATTAAAATGTATTAAGTTCTTAATTTAGTTAAAAATTTCTCAGAACCTGATTTTCTTAGAAACACTTCCATATAAGAAAGCTTTTTCAAAAGATATGATATAATTATAAAATTTGTATTGCGATTACTATAATCAAATAAATAAATAAATAAAAATTGATTATATAACATAAATTTGAGAACTAGCAATTTTCCGCTAATATAGTAAATTACAAAACTCTTTAATTAATATATTTATAAGTAATTTAACTAAATTTTCATATATGATAACAATATGAATAAAAATACTAAAATATTTTTATAATAAAACTCCAAAAGGTTGAAAAAAAAATTTTTCTAAAATATAAAAATTAAAATTGTTTTAAAAATTAGTATTAGTATATAAATACATAAAAATAATAAAAATTTTAAACTTATTATTACTTTCTTATTATTTTCTTTTGTTAATATTATAGTAGTATTGTAATGTAAATATTTAAAGATCTAATATATAAATACTATTTCTTTTTAGATATTTTATATTTATTAATCTTTGCTTAATGCATATTAAAAATAATAATTAAAATGTATAACTTGATATATATATTTTGTATAATCTATTTTCAGTTTGTATTAGAATATATATTTATCTTTTTTATAAGCTTATATAATATCATTTAAAATATTTCTATTATTTGAAATTTTTATTTTAATGCATGTTAAATTTATTTACTGATCATTATAATATGAAAATTATTATCCATTCTATAAGTAGAAAGAAAGAACATTTATTTTAATTGCTATATATATAACCTTAATATTATTTATTAGAATAGATTTCTTTAATATTTTACTTTAAAAAAATTTTTCTTTGTCAAATAAAAAAGATTTGCCTTTTTTAATTTTACAATTGTTAATGATTAATCTTATATAACTATAATTTAAAAGAAAAATATAAAAAAATATAAGAATTTTTATTTAATAAGTTTTTATATAATCATAATAATACTTATTTAAAAAATTAATATAAGTCCTTTTAATTCCTAGTATTAAGAAAAATTATCATTTAATCTAATAGAAAAAAATTTATTTTTGATATATATTTGTTACTATATCTCCATAATGTTGATAAGAAGATATATAATACTAATTTATATAATATATATTACATCTGATATTTTATACTTGATGTGTTAATTTTTCTATCATAATCATCAAAATAATTCACAATTATTTAAATATAAATGCTATTTTAATAA